TATCTCTATCTCAATAAATGCATATGAGGTTCATTGAATTGTCTTGTGTCTTCATAAGGACTACATTCAGGCAACGATAGCAAACTGGAGAAGATACAACATAGACGTGCTGCTGTGCCCTATGATCGGACCAGCCTACAACTTCTTGTATTGCGGCAAGCTTAACTGTACAGTACTCTGAACATGTCCTGTGTGTTTGTGTGTGTGTGTGTGTGTGTGTGACACTAAAAGGCATTGATTAGGCAATAAGGCAATAGTTAGAGGTATGAAATATAATATTGTGGCCATCCATCTCTCGTAATATTACTACTATAAAACCCAGTGTAACACAGTGAATAACCTGTTTCTATTTTCTGTCCTTCCAGCTTTTCTTTCTTTCACGGCGTTTTACAACCTCCTTAATTTTCCCGCTGGTGTTGTCCCTGTTTCCACGGTGACAGCAGAGGATGAGGAAGAACTCAAACACTATAAGGGCAATTTTCAGGACCTGTGGGACAGAGACTTCAAAAAGGTAAGAAACACGCGTTACTGAGAGATGACCTTTGTGAAACTTTTAGGTTCTTGTTTTATTTTGGTTCTTTCTATCCTAATGTGTTTTTCAGGCTGAGTTATACAGATGCCATTTTTTTGCTCAGTTTCCCCTCAACTTAAGTGAGTCATTTGTGTTACTGGCTTTGTCATTTTGACTTAAAGCAGGGTGTTTACAGGTCCTTAAAAAGTCTTAAAATGTCTTAAATTAAGTTTTCTTAATATTAGGCCTGAAAAAAGTCTTAAATTGTCTTAAATTCAGATTTGATCGGTGTTGAATATTTTCGGTCAAATTACTGCGAAAAGAAACGGCCTTCAAAAGTCTTAAATTTAACTTTGTTATATCTGTAGACACCCTGTAAAGGAAGCAAAACAAACACCACGTTATCGACCACATGGGGCAGAAACAAGCATTAAAGGGATATTGCACCCATGAATGAAAATTCAGCCATTAGGCTCGTTCGAGATGAACTGTGCCTCGCCTGAAAAGTAGACGAGAGCAGGCAGCCGCAGCGGGGGGCGGTGACAAAAAGCTGAGGTGAAGTCGGACAGTTTCCCGACAGTTTCCAGCAGCCTTCAGTCCATACAGGAAGTCACAGACACACTAACATCCTGTCTGGAATGATGTCAATTCATTAAAAAAGTGATCAGGCCCATATATCAGTTTGTTTTCACCATCAGTCACACAACATGTTTTCTGTTCACAGAATAAACCTTCAGTTCAGACAAATACAATTTTAATCTCTAAAATACAACAAAAATGAGTAGTTTATCTAAAACGTCATATTGTTGAGTCGACATCTGAACCAATGAGCTGTTAGATCAGGTGAGAGCCAGGCGGTGCAGTCGGTGGAGATCAACTGCAGCGCCTGGCTCTAAAAACTGCGGCCGCCTCGCTCTCGCGGTTTTATCGCCGTCCACTTTTGTAGTACGTCAGAGCAAGTCGGGATGAAGTCGGACACAAAACTAACCGGCATGCATTGTGTGCCAATCGCCGGTGATTGAATCTGCGACTCACTCTCATGCTGAGGAAGACTCTGGTGAAGTTTTAGAGTCCTCACATCCCTTGTGGAGATCGGCGGGGGGAGTGGCTAGCACACCTAATGGCAGACGGCCCCCCAGACTAACGTCCAAGAACACAAAATTGAAACCACAAAATATCTCCAACATGCTCATCCGTAGTGATCCAAGTGTCCTGAAGGTGCGACATAAGAAGTTGTTTCGAAAAACGTCATTTGAACTCTGTTTCTAGCCTCACTGTAGCCTGTAGCTCTGACTGCTTCTCTGTGCACCACGCTCACGTGTGCACGCTCAGGGTGATCAGTGATGCACTGTTGTCTCCCCCTGCCGTGCATGTGTCACATGATGTAAACATGGGTAAGCAAAGCTCATGCTTTTGCTCGCACAAGCGCACACATGTGAGCGCTGAGCACAGAGAAGCAGTCAGAGCTACAGGCTACAGTGAGGCTAAAAACAGAGTTCAAATGATGTTTTTTGAAACAACTTTTTATGTCGGGGCTTCAGGACACTTGGATCACTACGGATGGGCATGTTGGAGATATTTTGTGGTTTCAATTTTGTGTTCTTGAACGTTAGTCTGGGCCACCGTCAGCCATTAGGTGTGCTAGCCGCTCCCCCCGCCGATCTCCACAAGGGATGCGAGGACTCTAAAACTTCACCTGAGCCTTCCTCAGCATGAGGGTGAGTAGATAATGGCTGAATTTTCATTTTTGGGTGCACTATCCTTTTAAGCATTTTAACTTGTCTTGTTTGGTTATTAAATTACTGCCTATGTAGTGGAGATAATATGACTAGGCTGGATCTAGGCGTTAGTTCTGCCTTATCACTAGGTTCACCCCAGTGTGTTGGCCAGAACACCACTTAAGGCCAAGTCCTCCAAAGTATGGAATAAAGAGCAGATGGATGGTTCGGATGTGGTTTATTGTCTCTCTTTTCACAAATAATCCAGTAGCAGGCAATACGGTCATGCAGTTTCTACACAAAGAAAGAATAACAAATATGCAGATGAATAAGGACAACATATACATGAATTTCCCGTATGCAGTAATATGCCTAATATCACCAAACCTAATAAACCATAATCAGGAATGATACAGTGATGCACAAATCCTTAAACCATTTACCTCCCATTTACACTATCACAGCACTTCAACCATTCTTACATGACATTCTCAGCCATATTAACACACATATTAAAGGGGAACTAATGTTTTTTCCAACCTGGGCCCTATTTTCCGATCTGCTTTTGTCTAAATGAGTGATAGGATGTTCAGTATTTGACATTTCTCCAGTACGAAGCTAGGGCTGACCGGCCTGCAGCGTGTGAGCACGCGCTATATTAAATAATAGGGCACTCAGACAGCATCAAACAACGTCAAAATACGTCCACTAAAAGTGCATTTTTTTCACACAGATAGGCTCGGATTGTTAGTAAAATTATCCGACAACATAACGGAAAGGAGAAATGAACGTCGGTGTTTACCTTTAGCTGGATTCGGACATGTTCCTTTGCCTATTGCTGCTCCCTCTCTCTCCTCGTCCGCTCTTCAATTTCAATGAGCTCTGCGTCCGTGTACGTCCGTGTACTCTGTGTTCAAATAAATACAGGCGGTCATCAAATTCAAATGGCTCATCCAGATCCAGTTGGTCAAAATCGGGTAAAAATTCAGCCATGACTACTCCAAACAGAGTAACTCCTAGCGTTTGGTAAGGTCACTCTAGTGGTAACTTCCTGCAACAACTCAAAACTCGCGAGACGTGAGATGTCAGAGCCAGACTTTCACTCTCTGAGTGAGTGTTTTGACTTGCCACAACAAACAGGTCTGAATTTTTACACTAATATTTACACATTTTTACACATTAGTTCCCCTTAACACTGTAATAAGTTACCGCTAACGTTGACATTTAACACTTCCTGTTAAATCCTCATACTGACAGACCGGCTGCATGCATTTATTGTGAAAACCTGCAGGCATGCTATGTCCGGTCACCGAGTTAACAATCCTTAATGACAGTACTGAACACTAGCCACTTCGTAATTTAGCTCAACCATAAACCCACTGAGCAGTAACAACAGGTAATGAATTAACACATTTAAACTTGACAAGACATATTCCCGGTCTGAGTTAGGTGAGCTGAAGGCCATAACTAGCGTGCATGAAACAGTCTAATTAACAGAGTGATCTACATTTTTATACACATTGGCTAACAGCCAAATCTCTGGCTGCAGCAACACAAAAATAATACAACAATAACGCAGCAGATAAATACTCACTCCTTTTCATTCACGCACAGACCAGTTGTCATGAACTTATTGCACTGCTCAGTCATAATCCATCCCTCGACCAACCCACCAGAGCACACTGCTTTCCAACTGTGTGATGTCAGTTACAATGTACCACCAGCAGGTGGGGCGGCTCCCTTATAGGCTTATCAACACTAAATATGCAGAAAACATTAAACATTGAAACATAATATGGGCAAAGGCACTTAGTAATAACTGTCTATGGGGAATTTTCTACAGCCTATTTAATTTAACCTACTCGTCAAACATTTTGTAATGTTTCAGAAACATTTGTGATTTATATTGACTTTTGCATTTCTTTGGAGTAGAATGTATTTATATAGCCTAGCGCTTCTCACAGACATAGGTCACAAAGTTTTTTACAAGGGCAATATGCAACATCCAAGAATAAAAACATAGAAGATAAAGCAGCAACTCTAGCCGCATAGTGAAAAGTGCAAAGAAAATATCACAAAACACAACAAGTATACACAAAAGACAACGAAAATTACAGAGCTAGTACTTTCTTACTTACTTACTTAGTCCTCTTCATTCCCTATGGGACAAAGGCTTCAGTGAGCTCTTTCCTTTGCATTCAGTCCTTGGCAGCATGTTGTGCCTCTCCCCATGACAGGTTCATCTTTTCAAACTCCAGTGACACAGTTCTGCACCAGGTGGTTTTAGGCCTCCCAGGTTTTCCTGTTTTCTTGTACAGTCGAAGGTTGGAGATTTGGTTTGGCCAAGAGATCCGGCATATTTGTCTGAAGCATCCATTTTGAAAGGCTTCCACTCTCAACATGTCTGTTTTGCCCATCAAATATTCACACTGTTACAGAAACTACAACAGAGCCTGTTCATACATGTTACCCAAACACCTATCAAACAGGTTTGTCTTCAGTCGGCTTCTTTAAAGAAACCATAGAGTCAGCAGACAGTATGACGGGTGCAGGCAGAGCATTACAAAATGTAGGTGCTATGGCCTTAAAAGTAGAGCTTTAACTAACATTTATTTTAATTATAAGTTAATCAGCTTATTAGTTTCTTGGTTAATTACTTTTTCATTCAATGTCCAAATTTCAGAAAATACAACAAATAAAATGTCACTCACAGTATCCTAAAGTCCGAGATGGTGTTGCCGGATTGCTTGTTTTATCATGCTAACCGTTTAAAACAACAATATAGTATGTGTACTATCACAAGACAAATAAAAGCTGTCACATTTGAGAATCTGGAGCCAGTGTTTTATGTCATTTTGCTTAAAAAATGACAGAGGATTGATCAGTTATCATTTGTTTCAGATGTACTTTGGAGTGCACCTGTGAAGGGGACAAAGTTCAAAAAGTGCCACATTTGTAAATAAGTAAAAATGTGTTAAGACTCAACTTTTTTCTTGGCACTGAAAAAAACTGCATTATTTTACAGTGTAGTAGATTATTACCAATAGACATCTTTAAATATTCTAATAAGAAATGATATCGGGAAAATGCTGCTGTATGAACCTGCAAATAGTGTGGGGCCGTGGACAAATTAGAAGACAATGGGCTCCATGTAAAAGGCCCCACAGGGCCCTACAGTTCAAGATAAGTAAAAGTCAGGTGAGCAACTAAACATCACAACATGTCACACTGCATTACACATATAATTCATAAAAAGTCACAAACATAATAATCTCAAGGCTCTGCCCCGGCACTCAGTGTGAGGCCATTTTAGTGACTCTATTAAAACAGTAGTTCCGCAGTTGGTCAGTAGGTGGAGGCAGAAGACTGCTGTGGTCCTAGTTGCAGAGTGTTGACTGACTGGATGTTGTGTTTGTGTGCAGGCTGTGACTGGAGGCGAGGGTCTGCCCATAGCCGTGCAGTGTGCCGCCCTGCCGTGGCGGGATGAGCTCTGCCTGCGCTTCATGAGGGAGGTGGAACAAGTGGTCAAACAGAGCAAGAAGTGAAAACCCGGGGCCACAGGTGGGGCTGTTAACCTCAGGGGCCTCAGGTTAAATTTGTCTCAACTACACAAACAATAAGGCTATCTCTGAAATCATAATGAGAACATACTGTTAATGATGAAATAACTCCACTGACCACATTAAAACAAAATGAAATATGAGTAAAAGTTAAAACAGTTAATGTTGCTTTAGGAAAGGTTGTTGTGTTTTAAAAAACTAATATTTTGAGTTTCACTTTTCTGCTCGACAAGGATGAACTCAGGTACTTCTGCTTTTTGGGTTTTTAGGGCCATAATAAAGATTGAACTGTCAAATGTGAAACTGCTAAAAGGGCTCTATGCGAAATTCAGACTTGTCTGAACACGGTGCTCAACATGGAGGTGGCTGCAGGCTAGCAGCTAACGGTACTAACTCCATAAACAGCACGTAAACACAGTAACAGTGCTAACAGAGCTAGCAGTGTTAACTAGGGGGAAATCAAAGGAGGGGTGCTATGCTTCCACAATGACGCCATCCCAATATCAGCAGTACCCGCCTTATGAGTGCAGTGCAAAGTGGAAGCAATGAGCCAGCCAGTGGGACACACACATGCGCTAACAAGCACATGCAGTTTTTTTTTTTCTTGTTTTGCTTTTATTTTAAAATGAAGAATTTAACTAACATTCACAGGCATGATTACATGGTTGTGATTTGTGTGTCAAGTTTGTAAAAAAAAAACAAAAAACTTTTTTTTTTGAAGTGCAGCACATTTCAGACACAAAGCTTTTATTTTGAAGTGCTTTTTCCCACTGTAGAGTGAGTGACCAACGGAGAGCTACTTGAGAGAGACAACAAAGTAGCTTGACAATATGGTCAAAATCAAGTATGACGCTGAATGTATTAAACCTTGAACAAATGACCAAGGAGAAATCTGGACTGGTTGGGAAGCACTGCTTTAGAAGAATTTTAATTTCTAATCACCATTATTCAAAGAGGTTTTGCAGCCACATGCAAAAAATGTTGACCCTTTTGGATTTTATAGTGAATATGAAAGCTTTTTGTGTGATGCAATAACTGAGATTTAAATAAAGTTACTGATTTCTCATAAAGGAACTGCTGCGGTTATTTGTTTCCACAAATGATGAAATGTGTTTTCAGAGGTTTGAAGTCACCTACAGTGCACCTTCTACAGGTAATATGCAATCCTCTGTTATTTCCTCTGCTCATCAGTGTCATCAGTGATGCATTTTTTGAGCTACCATTTTTGACTTGAGATTTACAGTTTTTAACACCTGTACAGTTAACACGTTTTTGTTGTTGCATATTTAACGCACTGAGTTTATAAAATGTGATGCACCTCCAAGGCATCCAGCAGCTGTGAGGGCACAAAACCTCTTTCTTCACCTTTCTCTTCATCCTCCACCTCTCCCTCTTCCATCACCGTGCCACAGATGAGCGCAGATCATTTTCATTCTTATTGTGAGTGATTGTTGCGCCAACGCCTTAACAGGAAACAGAAAAGAGATAAAGGAGACTAATGACTCATGGCGCCTCCATCTACAAGGCCAGCGCACCATGTCGTCATATTGTGATTACCCTGTGCTATTGTAAATATGTGTTTCTGTTGGGTTTACATAAATTTACATATGTTTTAAAACTCTCCTGGGATGGGAAACCATTAGGGACAATGTTAGTGTTTTCCATTACAATCGCCCACGTTTGCGCTGCTGTCTCATTGAATGGAAATGGCCGTGTGCGTGCGGTAGAGGAAGGAGGGCACATTAGGCAAGGAGGGGAGCTGGAATTGAGAGGTTGTTCTTAGCATTATCTGTGGCACATAGAGAGAGAGTGTGTGGCTCTCGCTGTGCCACTCAGTCAGGGAGCATTAAGCTTTAAGAGGCAGTGAAGAGACTCAGGTCTTCAGAGGGAACTTGACATTGTTCATAAATCCCACAGGATCTGAGACAGAAGCAATGACAAATACACACACACACAAAGTCAGCCTTCAGATTGCCCCATTAAATACATTTTCCAATTACAATTTGGCAGTCGTGTGTATTATAGAACATATTAATCATTTTTAATATTCATATACTACCGTAAAACTTCAATTATTAACCCGGGCTATTATTTGCTTAAATCACTGAACTCAACAGGCCATCTGGGACAGGACTTTCACACAAAACTGTTAATCAGCAAAGATGGGAAATACAATCAAATTGTTTATTTAAACCAGTATGAATATTACTTGTTTAAAAATAGAATTAAATTAGGCTTCAGATAATATATCAGAGCATCGGAGAGAGTGAGTTACGGCACTCGAGGATTATGGCATCTGGCGTACAGACACAGCACCAATTTATCCTGTTAAAACAATACTCACAACTTGGATAAATTTTTATGAAAAACCCTGAACATCTTATCTCAGCTTTGCACTACGCGCATAAATCACAAACATGTCATTTTAAACTTGTAATGTGTCGGGACTGTTACGAAAATGTAAGTGGCAACTTTGTAGCAAGAGACAGCAGGTGAAAATTTGTCAGTTTTGGCAAACAAATCATTTGTACTGCTTACCGTACCACCTTACAATAACAACTATGGTCAGAGATCATTTTGTCAAACTAAAATCTGGAATGAGATTCCATACTACATTAGTGCAATAACGTCTATTACACATTTCAAGCGCTATCTGATGGAAGGACATACCTGCAACCACTGATTTAAATCCCATATCCCATTTTACTCACTCCAAGTAAAATTAATTTTGGTGTTTTAGTTGCAATAATAGTTACCGCCAAATGTAGTGGAATTATAGTAACGTGTTACTCCATATACATGTGATGATTCATGTTCTTCAAAAAGGTTAGTTGTCATTTTCCTTAAAAAGCAGATTATGCAGCTTTAATTTGAAGGGTTTGAAGGAGTACGTTGATTGCAATGAACAAAACATTTACTCAGAACAAGCCTTCTCAAGGTTTAAGCCCAGTTTAGACCAAAGATTCGCAACAAGACGAAACCACTTTAGAATGTTATAGAGAAAAGTTGCAGTGGTGTGAACTGCCTGGTCTGAGCTCGACTCAAGCTGGCTGATGGTGTCACCTGCAACTCAACTGGTCAAATCGCCGGCGGCTGGTTTTAGAACGTAAAGCACGTCATCTGTTTCAACAGCCAATTGGCTTGTAGTGATGTCCACTGGTCATGTTAAAATAACCACAGATGATGTGTTCACTTGCTGCAGCAGGTGCTCTGTCCCCGCTAAACCCTCTGTTTCTGTCCTCACGGTATGCTGGTGTCAACTCGTCTCGTGGTGAATCTTTGGTCTGAATTGGGATTTACATTGCCTCCAAAAAGAGGTCTCTAATTATTTTCAATTATTTGTGTGAGGGAGAGTCAGTGGGGGACTAGCAGTTTTATCAGGTTGGCAGTGGCCCCCTCCGGCCACCCCTTGGAGTCACCACTGCATATACAAGCACAACATAAAAGATAAAAAATTATATTATGATATTTGTGGGAACTTGGGCACGACGCACTATTGTTTCAAATGCATTGAATTGACTGCTGCTATGCTGTTGGGACATTCAGCCAGCTGTGACAATTAAACTATAAAGTCAGCCCTCCATATTTGTTATAGTCACATTAAACTCTTCATAATTCATGACCATGCTTAAGTGTTTAAAGTTCCATTTGAAATTTCAACAACAATGTGAAAGCGTCTCTAGCTCTGTTGTTTCCCACTTATAATCACACAATCAGACCCAAGTATTCAGCTTCAGCAACTTTAAGCTACAGGTTGATATGCTTGACTCCAATGGCTCTCACGCTGCATAATTTAACTATACTTATTTTTTTTATACTATTAACTGATGTTATGTGTCATGAATTCTTAGTAGTATAATCAGTATTTGTAGGAAAGGTATTTAAATCATCATGATATAGTCATGTTGCTAAAATTAATATTTGATCTGCGATTTAATTCAAGCAAGTGTATAGAGTGTATACGGTGTATGGAAGGAGTTTGAGAAGTTCGATGTGTAGGGCATCTGGCCAGAGCGCAGCCTGTTGTAATCATACAGCAGAACCATGCAGGCCAAGGTGCTCTTCTCATGTAACGTCTCATTGATAAGAGCAGCAAACACCTCATTTACAGGAACCTTAGGCTATAAGATCAGGTACTTTAAAAGCCATCCAAACACATTCAGGCCCTGCCTGTGTGCCAGCAAATAAAACACCTTGATATCGCCCCAACTAAACTAGGATGATTCTGTCTTAATGTCCCATTTCAGGGACCAAGGAGTCCATAGTCTTTATGGCTCCACAGAATTGCAGGTAGTAATGTCTGACACAGCAGGGCTCCTGCCTTTCAGATGATCAAAGTGACAAGTTCAGCCTGCAACCAGAGCCACTTACAGGAGACATCAAGAAGCAGCAAGATTGGCAGCTTTTAGGTCTTTGGTCCATTTCATCAGCCATTACTACCAGAAGAGGCGACGTGCTGTGGAGGACTAGTGGGAGGAGGGGAAGGCAGATTAACAGACAGCTGATACAGGTGTATAGGCGGTATCAAACAGCAGCTCTGTCAATACAGCAGGCTCCAAATTTCTTCAGAAGGGGCTGGGATCCCCAAAGTATGCCCACCAATTTCACTATGACAGGATTAACTGGGAGCTCCGTATGATTTTCGCAGATTCTGTGACTCAACAATTCAGTGATCCACGTTCTATCGGCTTTAAAGGCCCCTATCCCAAGTTTCAAAAGCTTACCCTTCGGACAAGGGACACTCTTTTTCTCCCATGCGGTTCCGCTTCCCCTTTTTTGCTGCATTCAGTTGTTCATCAACCCCCGCGTCCTCGCCAGCTCTCCCATCCTCCCTTCTCTGCACATCTGCTAGGTTTGAGTTTTCCTTTCTTCCCTCCAGCGCCTTGCTTGGCCCAAGGCCCTTATAGCCAAATTGGTTTACATTGGAGAGATAAATGCTCTGCAAATGCGCTTAAACACGTACAGTAAAAAATGCAGACAGTGCGTGTCAGGATTATCACCCAAGTCAGGGGGAGAAAGGAGAGCGTCTCTGTAGCACAAAGCTGGGGAGCCAGAGTGAAGCCTGCAGATATAGTCCGTCTCATCCACTTCTCAGGAGAAAGAGAGGAGGATTTAGCATTTGCATGCTAGTCTGTAATTCCTGGCATTATATAACTTGTCGCCAACAATCAAACTCCTGTGGTATTGTGAAAGTATTGTTTCACATGGGTGAGCAAAGTGTGGAGTTACACTCTCAGGGGAAGGGGTTTTGGTGGCAGCATGGAGACAGCAGGTCCAAGATGCACGGCAGAGACCACCCTATAAGCCCACTGAGGGACTATTCTGCAACACAACCTCAGGCCCAACTACAGGAGGTGCACCTCAAAATCCTCTCAAAATATTCAGCTTAGAGCATAAATGACTCAACCTGAACATGGAGAGTGATATGTAGAAAGAGGCTGATCCAAAGAGCTACAGCCAAAGAAAGAAAGTAAAGAAAATACAAATGCTCCCAAAGGTCATGTTGGCTGTGAAATTCATATACTCATATATTCATATACTCACATGTGAAATAATTATACATCACCACAAGCACTTCTGTGTGAATTTATCATATTTAAAATGTAGTTTCACATGTAGTAATGTAAATCTATCACCTGAATTTTTGTTTTCACATAAAGTGTTAAGTGTGAAAAAATGGTTTTCACATGTGATGTGTTTCATTTCACATTTGAAATATTAAAAAATCAAAGGTTTAAACATTAGCCTAGGGGTAGGCAACCTGCGGCCCCGCAGCCACATGTGACTTTTTGGCTCCTCTGAGGTGACGCGAAGCAAGTGAAGCCAACAGGAACAGTGGAAGTGCCAAAATCTGCAGTTCCTGGGATGGCCACTTGAGGCTGGCTCCAGAAGTGAGTCAGTCCCATAGACACCCATGTTATGGTTAAAATGCCCAACTTTACAGCAGAAATAAACCCATTTACGGCCTGGTATAAAAACAGTTTTGGTCTCTATAGCTAATTTCAACATTCATGACAACTCTCCAGGGGTGAATTTTTATATAACTCAATGGTTTACATTTAATTAAAGCTTAA